CAATGAAAACGCACGCCCGCATTATATGCATTTTATTACATGAAAATAAAACACTAACGACTCCATTAGAAATATATCATAACTTTAATACCAAACGCAAACTTAACAACTGAAAATAGTTCAAAATATTTGAAATCAAATGTACACCAGTAAATCGAAGAACCTCAGGCGAAAATCCCAAAATCACACTTTTTCATCACAGTAATGCAAACTTAACAATGGCAAAAAAATTATTTAAAAGTAAAGAAAAAGTATATGCTAATTATGTTTGTTCTTTCATTTACGATAAAAGTCAAGTACTTCTAAATTTTATATAGCAATATAATATATAATGGCACTAATAACGCTTTTTGAAGATATATTTGTACTTTGATTTAATAACACTTTAATTTTAGCTGTTAAACTCTTCTGAAACGCTATCAAAATTAATCTTTTTTTTAAATTGAATTCGACAATTTACAAAAATAATTGAACTATTCTGCTACCTATGAGGCATGCAGCATGTTTACAGAAACAGACCACCTCAACCTAACAATTCTCACGTCTGAAAATCTCATTTCACACCAATTTCGTCTTTGCCAATTTTCTCGCCCTTTTTTCTTTCCTCTAAATCATCAGTACATACGTCAAAGGTATCAAGGTATTTGTAACATTTTCTAGAAAAGACTAATGTATCCAGTACAGCAATTATGTTAAATGTACTCTAGATATTGTATTTTCTAACCAAAAAGTCGTTGTTGGGTACATTAAGGCTATATATTTTCCAGCTATAAGGAAAACAACAAATCCGACTTAAGACCTCAATCCACAACTATTAAAAAATCGGTGCTAGGAATAGTGACCGGTAGCGTGCAGTTACCACTTCCGTCCATTAACAGACTCAATCAAACCGAGCCTGCATTATTTTCAATTGTGTCCTGTTGGACTTTTTTGAGGTATTCTGTTTTTTCTATCTGATGACAACTGAAACGAACCACCCTAATTTTACAATTCATAAAATCCGTACGTACGGTTTAGTTTCAAATTGAAATTTACATGTGCATACTTCTTATTGTTGATACTGAAAACTTCATTAAAGTTGTGTTTAATCTCTAAATGAGATTTTACAAATGTTATAAATGATGTCATAAATCACTTCATTGCTTTATTATGTATTGTATACCGGTATTGTTATTTCTTTTATAACATAAGAACCCATACCATAAACATCATAACATTGAGTTTGAAAGCATTGTAACACCGCAAAACGTCCGTCCCGCAAAACGTACGCGTGAGGACGTTTTGCGGCGCGTATCGTACTTCGTACGTTTTGCGGCGAGAGTGTGTCTTTGCGTCGCATATCGTCCATATTTTCTGTATTAAAATATATTCATTGTAAACGTTACTTTTATTGGTTCTGTCACTTTCATATTGTTTCAGGTAAAGATATGACGAAATAAACATTAAAGAGCAATATTTTTGTGATCCTATATAATATATTCTGACTTTTTTATTAAAAAAAAAAAGAAATATGCTTAAGCCGAGGATGTTTTTCGAATAAATTTTTTTATAGAATGGAACCAAGCAGCAGCAGCAGCAGCAGAGATATAAAAACGATGATATTGAAGTAAATGGAATCTTATAGACATACAAAAAAGAACGGCTATACGGACGGACGAACCGGGGATTGGACTGAGGGAATGAGAAAAATATTAAAATTAAGCTTTGCTTTTGACAATAGCTTTTCATATAATTGCATCAAGAAGTGGGAATAATTTTTTTGTGTTCTTGTTGACCATAAAATATAACTTTGAAAAATGATTTAATCTATAGGTTAGTCCTAAACTAAAACCGTATTATTTTATCGCCTGAAGAACAAAACATTTCGCCTATAAGTTACATAGATAATGTGTGATAACAAACATTCTTCCGCATATGAAATGATGAAAAAGAAGTTCAATTTGTTCTATTGATAAAAACTAAAGCATATTTTAAAATATCGTAATGTAAGCGTTTTGTTTGAATGCAATAATGTAATTTTATAATTGAACAATGTAATTTTATAATTAAACAAAGCAAAAAGGTCATGGTGGCCTTATATTGCCCACCTGCCTATAAAGGCTCCACATGACAAGGATAGATGGCATTGAATATTACAAATAAAAAGCAAGTACATTTCATGTACTTGGTCAGAATCTGGGTAACTGATATCAAGACTTAATTCCTCGTCTGAAATGGTCATCAATATCCAAATATCTGTAAATGACAAATATATGGTAATTTAAGCAAAATTCAATAGTGACCTTGAGGTCAAGGTCATTTCAAGGTCAATATTATAGTTGAACTATTCAAGATGTCCGTCCTGTCATAAATGTATGAATGACATCTGATCATTGATAACAAAGGAATGGCAGTTTTATCCCAATTCAATTATTTGACTTTAAAATATGTTTTTATTTTTATTATTCAAAGGCAAATAACTCTTGACATTTTCTGTCGTTTTAGCTCATAAATGAACTTGATCGAGACCTTATTGTTATACATATTCTGCATAAAAAATTTTAAACGAAAGCACTAACAAGGTGAAATATATTGCGTTTTTTGTTGTTTTTGTTTTTGTTAGATTTAGCCTATAATCTAACTTCGTTGAGATTTTATGGTCATGGATATTCTGTTGAAAATTGTCAAGATTGATGAAGAAATGAAAGCGTTGGAGTGGTAACAATGTGAATATATAACAGATATTTTAATTCAAGGACAGATAACTCTGGACATATTGCTTAGGGTATGTTGAGTCGTAATAAGCTAAATTTGGATGGACAGACAGACAGGCGCATACTCAGGTGAGCTAAAACTAACACATAATAACACCTGATAATAGTTGGTCAAAATTAACGAAAATTATATAAACTTTAAAATATGGACGTTATGCGGCAGGACCATGCTTTTTTGTCGCAAAATGTACGTCAGAAAAATGTGGACGATATGCGCCGCAAAACGTCCATATACGTACGTTTTACGGTACGGACGTTTTGCGGAGTTACAAAGCATTATTTGAACAATATATATATACCATTTTTTGAACAGATAATCATTTATCAACATAAATTAGTTAATTGACCATACATAAATATACAATGAATTACAAATCATAATCCTTTTACAATAAATTTTATTTCTTATGATTCTTATTACATTTTCTTTACACATTTAAAAAAAACAACAAGAGCATCGCGCATCAGCTTCGTTTACTGTAAACAGTTAGTCGAGCTTTCTTGAACACGACTTGAGTAAAATTAATGATTTGTTTAAGTGCTCAACTAATGTTGTTACTGAAAGCGCACTATATTCCTTTAGACAAAACTGATTTCTGCCCTTAACTTCCCTGCGTTGTCTTAGTTGCATAAATCATACGACTGCTAGAAGATGGTTAACTGGATTGATTATTTAAACTTTTTAAGTTTGGCATCCGAAGCGTTAAATCTGACATGGGTGGAAAAGTTAAAACTCTTGTTAATTTAGATAAAACAGTAAGTGATGTAAGATAGTTGACTGCGAGTAGCACTGATAGTGGTAAGGAGTATTTATCGTCGATCAGCTCATTAACCAATTGGGTGAATTTTGTGATGAATGTGATGATAACGATGTAGAAGATGAAGTTCATTCTTCCAGACAAAGAAAGATAAGGCATTCACGATTTGTACAACACTTGTCTATCCTCTTACGCTTAATTGGATTGTTTTCTTTTTTGTAAGTTGTTTTTTCGTTGAAATGACTGAATGATTTACTAGAATGTAAAGGTCTGAACATATACCGGTACAAATCTTGTTAAAAACATGTACATGTTCTGTGAAAATTATTATTTTTCCTAGTTTATTAAACATACGTTGAAGTAAACATTTTTACCGAAAGTTCTTTCACAGTTCAATTAATTATCATCTTGCAATAAACGTATTGTGCACAATCTTATATGTCAATTGTGTCCGTTCTACTGTTCGTTCATCCTACATTTTTGTCCGGATCATATTTGTCCGTAGCATAACATGAAATCTGTAATGTATTTACATGAATGTAACTTGAAGTGCAGTGACCAATTTATAACCGTTACTCTGTACAATCGTGTGTTGTAATAACCACCCTTTTTTAAATTCTTTTTAAAATTCAAAACAAAAATTCGCTCAATGACTTCCCTTGTAAGTCAAATTATATTTGTGTATGTATAATAAATGCTGTTGAAGAAGGCCAAAAGATACGGCATATTCAAATTAGTGTTTTTTTAATTATATACGGCAAACTACTATGTTATGTATATATCAACATAAAACTAACTCTCATGAAAAAATCCTTATATGCATGTTTTATTTATATTTACTAAGACTTAATTCCCAAACAACTCTTTAGTTTCATTTCAGTTAACTTTTTCAATGTAATACACAAATTATACTTTGAGGGATATTGTGTTCTTTTTAAATGGGCATTATTATACAATAAAACACCACTATAAGTTAGTATACCATACAATTAAACTTTAGCATAATTATATACGTAATGGTGACATGTGTTGTTACGTAGAATACTTCTTTCTTTTTTGAAAACTTTCTTTATAATGGATAAATTCGATAATAAAATGATTTTTATTTTAAAAATAATTACAAAATTCTATAAATAAGTTATTTTTGTTAAAATTACAGGTAAATAGCATATGTTGTTTGTGTGCAACTGTAATAGTACAGGTATCTGTAAAAATATATTTACAAATCATATTTAAATGTTCAAAGAATATCATTGTTTAATAGTAAGGCAATTCTAAAGCCTTCAGTAATTGTAATAATACTTGTATGTAAGATATTATTTTTCATTAGCTAAAATAAACCAATTTACATCAGCATCAGAAAATAAAACCCACCTCAAATAATCTTTTTTACCCGCACGACAAATGTAAACATCATAACTTAATTTGTATATCTAATACCTATAGAAATACATATTCATTGCAAAATAAAGTAACAACTAGCACAAACCTTGTTAATATCCAAATATCACTTGTAATTTTTATATAAATCTAACACATACACTGTATACTATAATTCAACACTTTGACTGTAAAAAAGTTCAACTGAAATATAATTCCAGATAAGATATAGTGTGAGTCAGTTCAAAGCAACACCTTTCAAATATAAACAATACATTATATAAACATGAACCTGTGCCGGTATATATTTGCAGTACACAGGTACAAACATTAATTATAACATCACGTAATCTCTCTGAAAGTAAATTACAAAATCAAACTGTTATAATTATGGTAACTATGATTCCAGAAACATAAAAGTGAAAATCCTACGCATCTGGTAAAAACACGGTAAGTCTTATCTTCTAAACGCTAGAACATAGATCTATAGGTACATGTGCTTTATTCAGATTTCTGCCCAGCGAGTACAGAGCTAAAAGAGCAATTAAGAGCACACAAAACCGACAAGAAAATCCAATATACACCTTAACTGAAAAGAAAACATTTCCGCGTTTCTAGTTTTCATATAACAGCCGCAAAAACATGTAATTCAAAAAGAACCTGAACAGTTTCCTGTTACAATTCAATATCATGTTTTCAGATCCCGATCCAAAATATCAGTGTTAACATCTATAATAAGAGGTATTTAAAAGATGGAAAGTTAACAAAAAGGGATTAAGAAACCTGCATGAGAAGATCAATATATCTAAACAATTGATATCGTTGAAATTATTTGTTTATCATGTTCCCTAAACCAATGAAAGAAATAGTAGATAGATATTGAGAGGCAAATACTATTATATACATGTACAATACCGTTGATCTCAGTCAAATACATGTGTTTATGGACAGTTAAATTTCAGAGTTTCAGAGATTATTTTACACGTATGTTTATAAAATACGTCTTGGAATGAACATATAGCTTAAAGAACATTTTGACATTCTTTATAGAGTCTTATTTATAAAACGAATGGTTTTAAGGACATGCTATGTGAATACAGTATTTTTTGTCTGATTCCCATTGCTATCGAGGCCAATTTTTGAGAAACTACTTTTATTTAATAATGCAATGGTCTACTCCTATACGTTATAATGTTCGGTTCGATTATTAGGAATTATAAGGAATATTTAACATTGACAAAACCTGGAAAGTTAATTCTGGTAAGCTAGCTGGTAATTATAAGCATAATTCCGTTTAATACGTAAAACGTCTTGCCTTTGTGGAAACTATTACTAAAGTTTTAAATACGCCACTCGCACTGACTGACTACGATGAGAAGAAATATATTTGCTTCCAGAATTTACATTTTTGACCCTGAGTTGTGACACTATAAGCAATATGAATTTCATTGTTATTATGGCTTTCATATACATTTTTTAAAATGTAAATACTGATTTTAGGTTTACAGATATTTTCCCTTTTTAATCAGTGACGATGGAAACTTATGGCATATTGCTTGCTTAGATGATTTGTAGTCGTAATAAAGTATTAATACTAATTAAATTGATATATGTAAGATGGATCGCCTATTTGTTTAAGAAGACAAGCTGTTCTGCAGGTTAAATTAAAGGAAACTGAAGTTAATAGTTCTTCAATAAGCTATGAATGCCAAAACAAGTTCTAAATCATTTAATATGTACCAAAACGTTCAACAAAGCTAAACAAAGCGTTGCTTGTCCACGGTGTTATGTGACTCGTCTATTTTTCGTCATTATATCAAAGGGACCGTCATGTGAGATTACTTTCGAGATTTTCCTCTTATATCAAGACAAATATTGCTTTTTCCTTAACATCTTTGTATGCAGCACACCACTATTGCACCAATTAGTTTTGTGACAAGACTTCCTGTAAAGTGGTTTGATCAAAATTGATTTGAAATACAGGAAATCTACGGACGACAAACGATCCATAAGAATCACCAAAAAATCAGGCTCACGTGGGCTTATTAAAAACTATTAAGTCTGCTAACGATGCGATATGTAAAGATTAACAAAGTTCTTTTAGCTTTGAACATCAAGATCTAGAGTAATTAGCAAAACACATTATCTATACACTCTGAAAGTGAAGTTTCTGCCAAACTTTTGGTGGAACGGAAATGGTTATTGGACAAAAGATATGATTAATTGACTAACAAAGAGAGGTAAATGAGAGAAAGACCTATAATTGCTAATAATTATAATCACTTTAGTAGGTGTGAACACCATTTTTGTGTTTATATTTGTTGTCGTTGTTGTCTTGTTGTGTTGTAGTATAATTATTGGTAAACTAGAGTAAACTTTATTGTGTTGATGTAAATAAATTTATCATTTTATATGTTCATGATTGAATAAATTGTTACGCCCTACAAAAGGTGTAAACGTCGGATAAAAGGAAGCATACATTTCATACGTTCTAAAAACAGATATGACTCGCACATGCTAGATCACACGGTCAAGGTGATTTCTTTATATAATTGATACTCGTTGTTTTAATAAAACAAGAGCATAAAAATAGAACCAAAAACTGAAACATTAAGTTAAATTTTACATCCACATTTCATTGCAGTTTATTGATGTGTCAATCTGTAAAAGATATATGAAAATTCAAGGACGCATACACAATAATGAGAATATAAATGTATTGTTGCTGTCTCAAAATATATGCGTCACCTCATTGCAGTAACGGGGTAACTCCTATAAAATTCTATTACGAGTTAGACCGATACTGCATTGAGATGCCGGTTTTTTACGTTTATTTGTTATTATTTATGTCAGAGCTATGTTAATGAAGGGGAGATAGTGGATGTCAATGTGAATGACAATGATTTTTTGTTTGTTTTTGTAGTTTGACAATGAAGCGCCCGATGTCATTTTTGATACATGTAAGATATGTTGTTAAGAAGTGATCGCAATTTTCACAAAATATGATATTTCTTTCAGATATGGACTTCATGTTTCTCAGTCTTTGAAACAAGGCCAAACCGTTAAATGATTAAAAGTCAAGACCCGCTGTAAAGAAATTACATTGTATGTCTTATCTATGTACTAGTAACTAGACCTATAATAAGTAGGAAGCATGTGTATTGTCACAAAGTATTGTTTTTATGCTAGTAGCACTAATCAAGAGGTGATTGAAATGTCTTAAAATTCTTTGAATGATATACAATGTTGTTTTTCTAATGGCTATTAATCAACCATTAACCAAAATATCATTTTTAAAACACCTAAACACCTTATTATTGCACCGTAGGCTTTGCTATCCAATGTGGCATTTTTACAGAGCATTCAATATGATAATTGCTTTTTAGCATTCAAGTGACTTATGTTTTCCTTGTTTATTGAAGATCTAGAACTCTATTTGCAAAATAACTTAAATTCTGGTATAGATCTTCAAGACATTTGCCTAATTTTACTTTTATTTGCTGATGATATGGTATTAATTGATGAAAATCCTCTAGATCTCCAAAATTCATTAAATAAGCTTCATGAATACTGTAATAAATGGGGATTAGAAGTTAATGTTAACAAAACCAAAATCGTTGTTTTTCGTAAGAGGGGTGGTTTAAGAGCAGGAGAAAACTGGTTATATGGTCAAGATATAGAAATCGTAAATGATTTTAATTATCTAGGTGTCACATTGAATTATACAGGAAATTTTAACTTAAATACTCAAACTTTGTATGGTAAAAGTTTAAAAGCCCTAAATAACTTAGTGGCAAATTTGAAAAAATATGAAACAAAACCAAAAATAGCCCTACAGTTGTTCGACTCTTTTATTGGTTTTATTTTAATGTATGCAAGTGAAGTATGGGGTTTTCACAAATCAAAAAAGTTAGAAAATATTCATTTGAAATTTTGTAAAACTATTCTTGGTGTTAGAAAATCTACTAGTAACGTAGCTGTGTATGGTGAACTTGGAAGATATCCGTTGTATATAAACAGATATGTCCGAATTGTAAAATTTTGGTTTAAGATAATAAGTTCAAGTAATATTATTATAACTACAATTGTTAACTCATGTATGTCTGATATAAATATAGGGTATACAAACTGGTTTGCAAATGTACGAAGTCTTTTAGAAAAATACGGTTTTTTTGATGTATGGTTAAACCCTTTAAGCGTTAATCAAAATTGTTTTATTGTCGTTTTTAAACAGAGATTAATAGATGAATATTTACAAGAATGGAGAGCTAGTATTAATTGTAATGATGTATTATTTTTATATAAATCAGTAAAGGACAGTTTTGAAATGTCACCTTATTTAGAAAATATTGTATCAAGAAAACTAAGAATAGCTTTGACAAAACTGCGTATTTCAGCTCATAATCTTAGAATACAGACAGGTAGATATTCACGTGAAAGAGTAGAGCGTAATTTAAGATATTGTTTAATTTGCAATACAAATGAAATTGAGGACGAGTTCCATTTTGTGTTTAAGTGTCCTGCATATGAAAATTTAAGAAATATATATATTAAGAATTATTATAGAAATAGACCAAGTATGTATAAGTTTACTCAATTATTAAAAAGTGATAAAAATAAAGAAACAATTATGCTTTGTAAATATATTAATGAAGCTTTCAAATTAAGATATCAGATTATTAATGCTTAGATATGTATTTCAACCTACTTTTATGTATACCTAACAGATCCAACTAATGAAAAGTTTTATTGTGTATACTACTGTGTATGTAATATCCATTATGCTTTAATATTTGTGTCATCTCTATTTTGTTTTGTCCATCCAATATAATTATTACGTTTACTTTCATGTCATTGTATTTTTCATGTCATTATATATTTATGCTTGTATATATGTTAATCACGAGAAACTTGTAGTTTAAGTGAAATAAACGTTCTTCTTCTTCTTCTTCTTATTTCTAGTTATTGGTACAGGGGAGTACACAAACTGTGAACAAGGAAACAGGGTCTGCGACTTTTATGGTTAACTGCATGACATTTTTTTCATCATGAATTTTGGATTTTTTTATTTCACTTTCGTTCGAAAATTTGTTGGCAAATTTCAATTTGTTTGACCCTCTTTCAACTTTTGACTTTAATATATTAAATGAAAAAACTTCTTATAATGAGTCGTTTTACAGCAAAATTGTCAATCCATAATCTGGCACGAGAGTAGAGTAATAAAGAATAAACACTAAAATAAAAAATGTACAAACGCTGACATTTTGACTCTATGAATGCATAAATTCTAGAACATGAGACCGTGCATGTATTTTGTATAAGACGTGGCAAAAAAGGAGAGACTTATTTACGTCCATAATGACTGCTGTTTATTTGTAGATTTGATACGAGCATGATATACCAGTCTGCACTCATCAAAGGTTAATATCTATCACCCTTACATGTCTGAAATTTTCTGGAAAATGTAGAAACGTTTACCGGTATTTTGAAATGTGCACCTGAAAATGCATCAGAAGCCGCCATTTAATATACAGATTATTTTTCAAAGAAAGACTTGCATGTGTCTGAAATTCTCTTGTTAAATGAAAAACACGTGAATTTAAATTTTTACATGAAAATGCTCGATACTAAACTCTTGCTTTGGTTTTAAAGTCTGAAATGTTCTGAAAAAAAGTTTTTAGCATTTTTTAAGGCGGGGGCATTCGATTTGCCCTTGTCGTCCGTGCGTGTGTCCATTCGTGTTTGCGTTCCCATGGTGCGTAACATGTAGCTCTTAAAGCGCTTGAGGTAGAGTCAACAAACTTTTAAGGACTGTTGTTCAGCTGAAGTGAAGTTGTGCATCTTGGGTTTCGCGTTTTGTTAATGCCATTGACTGTAAAAATTTGCAATTTTTAACTTATGTCGCGCTTAGCTCAAACAGTATTTGACCTAGGGTCGTGAAAGTTTACAGGAATGTTGGTCATCATGTGTACTTGTGCACATGGGGGTTTGCTTATGAATTTATTCAGTATTTGTAGAATTATTGCTCTTGTAAAATTTTAAAATTGAGTCTTGCGTAACTCAAAAAGTAATTGATCTATACAGTTTACTGTTCGTCAACATGTGTAGTTGTGCATCTAGAGTTTTGCTTGATTTTTAAGCTTAGTTGAAATTAGAAATTCTTTCAGCTCAATATTGGCTATAAAAACTATAATGACTTGCCTAATTCTTGTGTATTTAACTTTTAATTTAATGTCTAGTTAATGTAAAAATGTACATATATTACACATTTGTACGTACACAGAGACAGTATTGTTAATATAATGTTCAGTACGCACAATTAAATACAGCGCATACAGAAAAATAAAGGCTTTTTCTGTATGCGCTGTATTCAATTGTGCGTACTGAACATTATATTAACAATACTGTCTCTGTGTGCGTTCAAATGTGTAATATATGTACATTTTTACATTAACTAGACATTAAATTAAAAGTTAAATACACAAGAATTAGGCAAGTCATTATGGTAAAAGGTGATTCTTCTAGTTAGAAGTGTCCAAAAACATATCACCACTTAACGATGTTCACAAGTCGACAGAATCAGAGATAATTAGGAGTTTAGATGCACAATATATCAATAATATTAGCAATGTTCAGCATACAAAAAAGTTGTGTTGTAGGAGTAAGAGATATGCTTTATAATTTGTAAATGAATTGCCTTGACCAAGGACCGTAACTCTAAAATGATTGATAACACAATGAAGAAAAATGTATATACCTATGAGTTTTCTCATGAAAATACGGTCATTAAAATACATAAATCAGAACGGCAAATTTATGCAATATACTATATGCATTATGATAAGGACTAAACCTTTGTATCTAGATATAAAGCAATGTTCACTAAAGATAGCGGTGGCTTGATAAAAATATTATTGCAATACAAATTGAAGATTGATAATACATATTGCTGCAAAATGTCCAACAATTTCAGATTGAAAAAAGAGACACAGTATTGTATGTGTTTTACTGAACACTGAATTGAAAGTAAGGTATTTTCACAGTTTTAACTTACACGAGGTTTGTTACAAATATGAGAGGTACTAGTATTAGAGATATGAAATTTTCGTTTGAATCATTTCATTTAAGGACGAATTAAGTTACACATACAAAAGACTTGGAAAGCATAGTGACAGAGAAAGAAAACATCTTTGAGATATTAAATATGATAAAAAAATCTGAGATAATGTGCACAGATGCAGATGACGATTTTATTTTTGTATTAAAACAAAGAATCCATGGTGCACACAGCTTTTTGAAAAAACAAGCTTGGATTTAAATGACTTCTTACCGTCTCATATTCCTGAAAGTGTTGCCAAATATCAAAACCTCTATCTTTATACATTGCTATATTTTGTCATCTTTTGACATTTACTCTTCTAAAATCAGATAAATAAATTTTAAAACGGTTCGTGTATATTTTTCATACTGTGAAGTTAAAATCAATCATAACGTATGGTTATATTGACAGATCATCAAAGTAGTCCTCTAAATTCATAATATGTTATATGGTACAAACTTTTGTATCATACCAATTTGTATCCCTCTTAGTTTTTGTATATTTTGTTGTCTTTTTAAGGTTGGCATATTGAGTTGTAATATCTGTTGTCTTTATTAGGTTGGTGTATCGGATTTACCTTTACGACATTGTTGATATGTAACCTTTTTTTGTTGCAGTCAAAATTGGCATATGAAATGTTTATAAATATAGTTTAAGTGTAGCAATTGATTCGTTCTAAATATTGTTCCCATTCTTAGTTTTATAATCTATTGTTGTTTGTTTTTTTATTTGGCGAATATCAATGTTTGTGGGTGTACATTTTCACAGACATATACTGCATATCAACTAGTTTTGAAAACTAAAGTTTACTTATTGAGTTAATATGACTTAAGTATAAGAACAAGTTCAATTGAAACAGATTGTTATATATGTTTGTTCTGTTGGTCATTTGAGCATTTTATGTATTTCAGGAAAATTGCATTAACTATTTAAATGCAATGACAAGATAACTTATAAGCTCGTCGTTTAACACTGTCTGCAAAAATGCATTAGCAAAAATTAATAGACTTACAGTTGTCTGTAACTTACGTGAAGCATATCGTCTGCTTGAAGAAAGTCCGCCACTTCCGGATCCCCCGTATTCTCGTGAAAATGAACCGGAAGGCTATAAATAGAAACATAGAATCAAAATTAAATTTAATGTAAATTTTATATCAGATATGACCGACAATTTTCAAAAACATTTTACTGAAGACAAATACTAGTAATTATAGAAATTTATTGGCCAAAGCCTTATATGTAATATGTTCTAAACTGTGATATATTCTAAAAGAATTTCTAGCACCATTTACTTTTTCTAAAAATAAAATACACGAATGCATTATGACTTGTCATCCTATGCCATGCAACATAACAAATATTTTTTGAAATATGTTTTAAAAAAATAAATTGCGATTCAATGGCAATGATTCATATCTGTATTTATGAATCCTTAACATTTGTCTTCCAAAACACAAGTTTTGTTGGTTATATCTTTTTGCTTGTAATTGTTTGTTAAAATTACAAATAAAAACCCCCCATAAATTTAGTTTTTAAGAAACAAATTTTTAAAAAATATAATAAGAAATTCGTAATTAAATGTATAAAATGATAAAGTCAAAATAAGAAAACCAGTATTTAAGATAATTTATCAACTATTAAATATACATACATTTTGTCAAAGCATTAATCAAATACAGTGTATTAGTATTAGAGATGCGGAAATCATTATTGCAAGATCACATCTGCATCACTTTTAGTACATGCAGTATATTCTTTTTATGATTGTACCTTAAAAGTTTGAAAATTGTATAACGTACATGCAAAACATGCATTCGTATTGACATTAAATATATATAGTTCATATCTCTATGATCTAGCTTAACCCTTTATTCAGTATATTTGGTGTTTTAAGACAGTGTCATGTTTAATAGTCAAACAATGAAAATAAAGCATCAGAGAAAATACTTTGTAATAGTTATATACATGTACGCTTTGCCGTGCAACGTCAGTTAGCAATGTATCAATTAGATCTATAGTTATGATTATTACAAAAACAAAATATGTTGTTGCTTATTTTCGTCATAGTGTTGAACAAACTGCTTAGGTAACAAACATTGGCGGTATAAAACATAGATTTGTACGCTAAAACAATGGTATATATCATCCTTACATCATAATAAATGCACATGTGCAAAAAATAATGGTTGCTAACAACGATTCTTGACAGTAAAACATTTGGTAATAAGTACTTCATCTTCAGAGGAGATGTAATAATGTAAATAAGAAGAATACATTTCAAAACATACATTCTAACAAAACTGGTATATAGCTATATCGAAACAAATCTTTTGATATTGCTTCAGTCAACAATATACGTATAATTATATGTTGCATATACCAAACAACATAGCTCATAATTATACCCGATCATACATATACATTATCTTGAAGGCTTTAATCTAATTTTTTTTTCCAAATCTACCTATTTCACTTTTTTGCGTATATTGCGAAAGTTAACATTCATTATTTGATTGATTAATCAGTTAGATCATGCATACAGTTTAAACAAATTATTATGACATTCGAAAAGAATGATCCATACAGTTCATGTCTAAAAATCGACTTACCAATTGATTCTAATAGCCTTTTCTTATCCGAAATGATCACTTTAAACTTTTTAAATGTAAAGGTGAAAGTTATCCAGAGTATGTCATTAATTTAGTATAAAATATCCGCACGGCAGGAATATTTAGGCTGTATGCTCTTTTATTTGGCAAGAGCTCTCATAATTCGGTATATAATGACTTGGAAGATGCCAACTTATAAAATCACCCACCTTCAGTAAGAGCTGGCTTCTTCTAGAGACAGGATACCTGATTTAAAAGTATTCTTTGAAGAATCTTAATTATAAGAAACATAATGAACTAAATTTTAGAAGTATCTTCTTAAATTTTATAAAAATATTTTCTTTTCCTTATCACAATCGTTAAATGGTGTATGTTGTAAGCGTCTACACGTAATAACCTGGAACCTTTTCAGAAGTTCAAAGGTACATTTTGCAAACTTGTTTTCTCACGATGAAGAAATTTTAGAGCAGCTTCAATAAAGAGTGGTCAAGCACGACACTATGGTTCTCCATTTTTCGTTTTAAACTTGTGTCCATGTTTTAAATGCAAAAATTATCTAATACAATTGCAATTTTCCAATAACAAAAGCATGTATTTTGGAATTTAAGCATTAAACAAAACGTGACGTAACCAAAATAGATTAAAGTCATCAGTAAAGTAAATCCTGCCAGTATATATACATGTATTTCATTCAAAGTACCGTGCCTAAATAGCAGAGAATTAGTGTATGAGAATATAAGGCTTATAATTGTATGTATAATTAATGAAAACGTCTTCATCTACATATCACAATGATACTAGTTGATGAGACTTGACATTATCTCGTGACTTATCCCAGCTAGACACAATACACCTTGGACACGTGCCACTACCATTGCTCACTGATACCGTACATTCATTTCAGTCCGGATTGTCGTACGGTACTGACAGTAAAAAGACAAGGAGTTTGCGGGAAATATCGAGTGTGCAATTAGTGTTTACAATATTGTTCAAATCTTAAGGAATTCTATTATTGCGTTTTCTTATCTTTACTTAATCATGTTGTCAGTGCTTTTCTATAATTAAAATACAGATATTAGCTAGTTCATATACTAATGTACATATCGTAGCTGTATCTTCAGAAACAATGTGGTGACGTCATCCTGCAGTGACTTACACATTTTGACTATCGGTATTATATCACACAATTTAAAAGTTGCAGATAAATGGCACAAAGATTTATAGAACAAATAACCATTCCCCACCTCCCAAAACTGCGAAATTAAAAAACACATATTTCATATGAACGATGTAATCAGAGTATTCAGCTATTATTAAATGTATTCGTTTTTTTTAATTAAGCTTTTATTCATTAAACAATTGCATGCAAAGATAAACATACAATTATATTGTACTTACTCGTCCGTTATCCCAATAATCTATTTAATAAAATAGTTCTCGTTTCATAAAGGTAGTCAAGTATTCTTGTTTTAAAACTGGCTCCAGTCCCACTTAAACTGCAAATACGTCTATTAACCGCTCGCAAAATGAAAACTTGAAAACGATGATCTAATTTAGGTAAGAAAACTTAATTAATTTATAGAGTAAAGAGATAATCTGTTTCAGTTATTATAATTATTAACGAACATCAAAAGCGCCGCCAGTGACTATATTCTTTAGAACTTTCTATATCGTTACTATTTTCCCCGACAAAATCTCAGGTGGATTATAAGTTTTCCAGACCCGGTGATATGTTCATACCTTTACCATGTAAACAAAATGGTTCGATGTAATAAATGTATACATTTTGTTGATAGAATGGTATATCAATAAGACCTATATTCAACAAGTTGTTTTCTCTCCAAGCGTGTCTCAAGCTAAATATTTGGGTTGTTATTTTGCAAGAATCTGAAGAACTACAAGATGTTGAAATAAGTGGCCAATTAGTTCCGGAATTTACGTAGTTACGTCTATCAAATGAATTAATAAGTCATTGCTGTATATATAAAAATATGAGTGCGACAAGACGTCAGCTTATGATGTACACATTCTTTATACATTAAGTACATTATAATTGACAATGCTGATCAGTGCGTCACATATCATGGAATGTTTGTAAATAACATCAATTAATCACCAATTCCGAAGTAAATAAGAAACAACCAGATCTCGTTTAGTCAGAATTATTTGCATTTCTATCAAGTAAAATTTTAAGAAATATATACTCGAGCATTTGTCCAATTAATATAGCAACACTTTATATAAAAACAGAACTAAAACAAATCATTGTTAATAGTTTTAGAAGTATGTACATGTATAGCATTGTTAGAGTGTTCAGCATATTGCGATTATATGACTAATTTATGATTTTTAGAACGTTAGCTTTGTATTAAATTCATACATATTGACATTATTGCCATTAAATTATATTGTCAGCAGTTCATCCCATTTTACTTAATAACTAGACAATCAAAGATCAACCTAACTTTGTAGCTTTATCTTAGGCACTTTAGATGCAAATTATGACTTTGGTTCGAAATATAGTAAACAAAATAAGAACAAGAACACTTTGCACATCAAAACGGAGATAAAAATGTGATACAATTAAATTATAGTCATGTTAAAAGTGTTTCTATTACTTTGTATCTAATTATTGAAATATATTATACCTCATTTGCATACGCCCTTCTATATTTAATATGACGTCATCCGGTCCATAAACCGCATACAGACCGGGGGCGGTCCATAATTCTTATATGGACCGGATGACGTCATATTAAATATAGAAGGGCGTATGCAAATGAGGTATTATATTTTATTTTGTTGTTAAATGAGTCTTTTTTACTAAATTTATTGTTTTGTTTCAAATAAGTTTATTACATGTTGATCAAAGTCTTGATTTGTCTTTAAATTGGTTATAAATTTTATTTATACAGTTTGTGAAAATCTGAAAGTTCGGGGTTTTTTTTGCCTGTTTAATTCGATTAACAAAAAATGAATAACAAAAGAAGAGCATGATTTTTTGCTGTATCGCTTGAAAATAATAATAAAAAATTCGACTAGGGTTTGAGATATTTCACACACTGAACAAATAACTTATTATTTGAAAGCAAATTATAGTAAAAATGACAGCAACAAAAGGGATGAAAGAATTTAGATTCGGTATAATATAACAAATAAAACATGGCCTTTCGGGCAAAATGCAAGTTTACGGACTGGTTGGTCAGACCTCGGAAGGTATATGTCCCTCAGCTGCGCTTCGGGCCATATACCTTCCTCAGTCTGACTAACCAGTCTGTAAACTTGCATATTGCCCTCAAGGCCATGTTTTATTTGTTAATTGCATCTTTAATCAGTTGATTAGAAATATAACAAAGATTTATTTAATTTCATACTCATTGTCTGCATTTTTTTTGTAAGGGAAATATTGACAATATTCTGCAACAAAAGTTATATGTGTGTTTGTTTTGTTTATCCTCGCCACCGGAAAATACTATATGGACGAGCAACAAGTTAT